TAGAATGGTATATGTCCAAGTATCAAAAAAGGACAACGCTCTCCTTCTTTCATTAGTGGAACCCATTTAGGCACTATAGGTGCTCAAGAAGAAGTACTGTAGTAGATCGTCTTGTTTATCATGTATATAAAACATGTGTCTTTTCAATAGGTTTTAAGCAAATAGGACGTATATTTCAGCGCCCAAACCTGGATTCAGGTCAGTCCAGCAGGCGAAATTAAGATCTTAGTTTGACCTAGTCCAAACTCCGATCTCACTTTCGCCTAGTCCAAACTGGGATCTAGGTTTGAACTAATCTAAAGTCAGCTTAAAGAGAAAATCTCAGGCCAATTCGAGAATAAACTGAATTCTCAAGGCCAATCTCAGATTGAACTAGGCCAAACTCAGATTCATGTTGTCCTCATATCAAACTCAGATGACTTGTTGACCATTACAAGTTTTAATAAAGATAGATAAGAACTCTCTTACAACATTCTGTTCGCATTTTATTGTAATTGTTTAACTTGGGTGATAATTTACAAGAAATAGTGACATTGGAATATGATTTATCAAGTTATTATTGATAGTGATAATGGTGTTAAAAATGATACTATAATCAATGATGAATCTACAACCGACCCACGTAAAACTTGATAATATGCTTGCGAACCCACATGATACAGTTGAAGATTATTGAAGATTTTTATAATCTTCAACTTTAGCATTGGATGTTTTTTCCCTATTATCATTGCTATTGTCATTACCATCACGTGGGTCGGTCGTATATTCATCATTGAGTACAATATCGTTTTTAACATCTTTCTCACTATCAATAATAACTGTTGGTAAATCATATTGGCTATCAATTTTTTTGATCACCAAACATATTTAGATACAAATGATCACCAAAAAAAGATACGTTTGGTCACCAAATTTTTCAGCATGCATCTCACATTTTTATTTCTCAACAAAGTATATAATGTACAACACAAACATATTCATTGAAATCTTAACCAAATGAACAATAAAGCTGTACTAACTTTCTTGGGACGCCGTTTTGCTTTTCGTTTGCCTAACGGTTGAATACGTGTTCTATCGCTAACCTGACGTGTTTATCGCTCGGCTTGTTGTACCATTATTAGTATATTCGTGTAAGCATTGTGGTGGATTAGCAATTTATTTAACTTGTATCAAGTTAGCGATAAAACAGGTATTCACCCATTAGGCTAACGAAAAGCAAAAGGACGTCCCAAGAAAGTTAGCACAGCTTTATTGTTCATTTGGTTAAAATTTCAATGAATATGTTTGTGTTGTACATTATACTTGTTGAGAAATAAAAATGTGAGATGCATGCTGAAGACTTTGGTGATCAAAGGACATTTATTCAATCATATTCCAATGTCACTATTTCTTGTAAATTATCACCCATGTTAAACAATTACAATAAACTGCGAACAGAATGTTGTAAGAGAGTTCTTATCTATCTTTATTAAAACTTGTAATGGTCAACAAGTCATCTGAGTTTGATATGAGGACAACATGAATCTGAGTTTGGCCTAGTTCAATCTGAGACTGGCCTTGAGAATTCAGTTTATTCTCGAATTGGCCTGAGATTTTCTCTTTAAGCTGACTTTAGATTAGCTCAAACCTAGATCCCAGTTTGGAAGGTATATCTTTTATACAGCTAGTTTGTCTTAGCAACCAAAGATCAAATGTGTAGTGTCAACCAATACGAAATGAAAATAGTATATGATTTATTAATGTAGACCGGTTTCGTATTCTTCGTCAGT